AAAGACGAACATGTGGGAAATGCAACATATTTGTTGCATATTTAGCTAAAATATATGCTAATAGACAAAACAGAGGCATTGTATAAATGTTGAGAAAAGTAGCAAAGAATGTTATCAGCGGATATAATCTTTAAGGAATGTGAGAGCGAGCCGTGAAGCAACGGGTATAAAAGAAGGCGAGCATGCAACAGAAGCAGTCAAATCAGTCGGTACGAGAGAGTTACTGTTGAGAAGGGTCGGAGAGATTCACCCAAGGAATCTGTGATATTGTGTTTATTCATCATTGTGCTTATCTTCTGCTCTGTTGTGCAATAATATTCCAGGCTTGGGGGTTCTAATTTTTGTAATTGAACATTGAGCAGTACGTAATTCAAGTAATAAGTTATTCGTCAAATAAGTAATTGGTCCAATAAGTATCCGTCCAATAACGATTCGTCAAGTAAATTGTTAAGTGCATATTCATCATATATTACCGAAGTTGGGATATCAATTATTATTAATATTGTAATCTTATATTGTGCTGATTATACGTCAATAAATAAGTACAGTAATATTTCTGTAGTCAGCAGCAACCCGACCCAATTCTCAAACTCTTAACTTCTTTACTCAGCAACCGCATGAGATCTTTGCACCAACGGATACGGTAGGTCCTGTACATTCAGAGGAATATTCATTTTATATACTGCTTAATGTTTTCAGAAATATAGCCGAATTTCTCAGATATCTCGAGCAGTTAAACGTTCTGATATATGTCGAACTCTATACCAATGGATCTCAAAAAGGACGGTGTAAGAGAGAGAAGGAGGATGGTTCTCCGGCTGGCGAAATTTTAGGGAATCAAAAGAAAAACTCAAGAAGGTGGTAAATTAACGCCGATTGATTTTTCCCCATCAATAAAGTTCTCAAAATGCTCGTATGATCTTTTGATATCAGTGACGATATGATGGCAATAAACGTTTTGATTAATGGATCAATTTCCTACTGATCTTTCGCTAACATATAATTAAGTGTGAGAGGGAGTGGGTGGGGGAGGGGGGGGGGGGGAGGGGGCAACTGCACTTGCGAAAGTTGTTGGCGAGTGGATAATGGCGATCTGCCCTATGAACCTAGAGTGCGATAGTGTGAAAAGCACCGCTCTCATTTGATCGCTATCAATTTGTAATTACAACTCGTTTAAACTATATGCCTCTCTCTTATTAACAATATCACCATTTTCATTTTCTTGCTTTCTTGTAATCCTTCTTTTCGTGCATTGACGATATGCGCATAAAGAATCATCCGTCTTCAGAAAATTATAACTTCAGTCATTGATTTGACGAGCACAATGGTGTTGGCACATTCTCGCATGCTGCTCAGTTTGATCCGTATACGATTCAATATTTCAGTACAGTGTAACCTCAGTTTACGATCATAATTTGTTTTGACCGTTTGGATATAACTCGAATTGGCCGAGAACCGGAGCATCTTTTTCTATAGTGTGCGATGCAAAATGAATTGATTCTTTTCAGACGAGCCAATGTTTTTATTGTAAATTTTTATTGACAGCACAGAGTATAAATAATTTCACTAAATTGCCGTTACTTGAGTTCAGAGCATGATCAAAAGCGACAACACAACATTTAATTGGAATCAGTGTCATTTCCTTGGGTAGTTTCCGGAATAATGCTTGCAGAAGTTGTCTCATAATCTGCCTTCAGTATTTTCCACAAGAACCTGATTGTGATTTGTTAATTTTTTTCTTTCATCGACGATCATTCTGAGAAAATCTGATCGCTAACTGCTCCCGGCGTTGCATTCCTTAAAAATAAACCACCTCTGTATTATCATTCAATACCCTCTACATTTTTCCCACTCGATGAAAATACCATCACTTTAGGTAACAAAAACAGGAAAGATAATGCAAAGTTGACCGAAGAATAGATGAATGCTGTTCGGAAAGTCGAAAGCTACTAAGAAATGAATTAAAAACAAACATAAATCCTTTCGTACATCTGATTCATCCTAAGAGTATGACAAAAAATCCCTCAAGTTCGGTCATGAGTGATACTAAACCACACTAATTTTTGCCGAAAATTTTAGTTGTAATCCAAGTTTACCGATTTTCTACTTAGATTTCACTTATGTTACAGGAAAACCATTTTTGAGTGATCTATATGGTCAGATTTGCTCAGCAATACCATGATTTTTTTTTGACCATCAGATCCTCTGCAATAAGAAAGAGGTATGTATGTCTTTTCGACGTATATTGCTTAGTTTTAGTTGAATTTTTAAAAGTGTTTCTTTATAGATGAGCAACTCTTACCCAGCACTGTGCTTCACTGTTGCAAAACCTCATCTTCTTGAGGCAATAGGTCAGTTGAAAGCGATATAAATGTAAATTTTTATTGAGATATGTGTGTAGCACACGACAGCACAAGAACATTGCACTTCAAATTAGGTGGATGAGACGATGAAGAGAGTTAGTTGTTGAACGAGAGAATGCGGGAGAGAGATTTGGTGTCTCGTCAGATATTCACCGAATAAAATCACATAAGTGTGAACGTCGATAAAAAGCTATCAGATTTTCGAGTGCAACGAGCAAAAAAATAGACGATGAATGCATATCTACATGAGCACTTATGTGCAGTCGATCAGTTCATCGAACAACCGATCCATCAATTCATACATAACTTTCAGTGGCTTATTTGCAGGATGGCATTATTATACTCATTGAATGTTTTGCTGGCTGAGGTTTCTGTTTTTTGACATTCAATTTTTATCATTTTATCGTCATAATGATCGTCATAAATCTTGTTTGTCTAAGGATGCAAATCGGATAATCTTAAAGAAATCCGCCTAATCACTTTTCTGTGAACAAAAAAAACCATAAAGACTAAGCAAGAAGATTGATAGTTTTCGTTGTAAATTCAAAACGCCATTCTGCAATGCAGCCAGCAAATCAAGCAATAATAATACCAATAATAATAATCCATTAACGACAATCAATCAAATACTCGTTAATGCATATTTGATGTCATGTCTTCGTTCGTCATTTTTGCAGATTTATTTCCTACCGGATGGAATGAAGTGGAAATTGTCCTGACCTTGTGGACTTGCCATATACTCTGCTAGCGAAAGGCCCATACTCGCTGTAATAATTTTATTCAATAGAGCAAAAACCTCTAATAACATATTAGTTTGTCGAATTGTTCTACTCCTTTCTCTAATTAACACCTGTTTCATAAGCAAATCACTGATTATTCAGCATTCCAATAACATTTCTTTCAGTAATTGCATAAACAAACATACGGCTTCGTTTTGATTTCAGCAGAACCGTTCTGTAGACCCTATCCAACAGTTGATCTGTAAGTGCGCCCTCATCTATTCCGCCCTAAAATTTCCAACATCGAACGGCCAAATAACAGCTTGAGGAATTTTTGCATTCCCAGAACAAGGGATGATGAGTTCAACGCTAAGAATGATTGCGAGAATCGTTCAACAGTCTCTAAGCGACAATGGATGTTATCATTTACATTTGTATCCAAAATACATACCTTATGGTGTTGATTGTGGATGACTCAGCTGTTTGGTCAGCATTATCATTGAATAATCAAATTCATTCATATTCAATTTACTTACACTCAGTGAAATTACCGAACGAGTTCTAAAGATGAGAAAGAATGACAAACCGAGTTCGACCATGCGAAACACGCAACGTTTATGAGTGCAAATATAAGCACCAGCATTGTATATCTCATGGTTGCTGTCGTTTGTGTGTGGTAACGTGCTGCTCACCTTCAAATAAACCATCACAATGTTTTTTCCTCACTAACCGGAATCAAAATCTGATCCATTCTCAGCCAATTCAGATTTTTCGAGTGACAATTTTCGTTCTCAAATGCGCTCATCAAGCATTTATGATTTCCTTGTACACCAACGCTCATTCGATGAGAACGAACGCTCGAAGAATCGCTATGGAAAAAGAGTGGAAACAGTTATCAGTTGTTGTAACCATAAGCAAATATGAACGAACAACTCTTAAGCAATCCAGTAATGCAGTTTCAAGTATTTCATCTCTCTAGATCAACAAACGTGATTGTCATATAACGAGTGAAACTTGTGCGTTTCTATATTGAATTCTGACGATTATAATCGTTGAAATTCAATACAACATAAAACATTAGGTAACTGCGACTAATTACATGTGAAATTGTGATGGTGAATGAATTGAAGATTTAGTGCAGTGTAAACTTTGTTGAGTTTAGTCTAAATTTTTACGAGAGTGATTCAAATCCTCCACTACATTCAAGGAACTTTATAAGCATCACAGTAATTATGAGCCGCAATCCTAAGGCATGCATCATCGACTTGTGGATTCCTTCTAAATCGACAACGTTTCAAAGCAGCAGGAGTAACGTATGAAATTTGGACAGAAACTTTCAATCGAATGACTAATATGAACGCTTTGTGCGTCACTAACAGTTTCATTATCTTATAGATCAAATTTCATCAACAAAAAATATCGCAAGCACACATCCTGAAATTAGTGGATGATTTAAGCGTAGAAATCGCATCCTTAGCAAATCCAGGATCAGTCATGGAATCCATATTGATATCATCAATTCGCTGTCCCTGCAGCCAACCTCATCAATCTCACATTACACCAACACCGCTCATCCACGTCAATGCGTATCTAGCCGTCCACATCCATTCAAATAAACGCCACCATTCAAAAAAGTGGTCTTCAATAGGTGATAATTCAAATGAACGCACAAAAATTGGCTTATTGTTAATAAAATGAAGTTTTGAAACGACTGTTTGCAAAAGAATCGTATCATATTAATGGATGCAATAGACAGAATTCATCAAAAAGAAGGACGTTAAGATGAATAAGTTGTACTCAATTTCATATCAGCATCGGTCGGGACACACACACAATTGAACAAGATGAAAACACTGAAGCAATTTTATCACTTATATATGGATGCGATCGGGTGTGTACATGTAAAAATTGTACATGGTAATATCGAGCATCTGGCCATCTTCGGCTAATAACAATACTTGTTTGCGCCTGCCTTCTTGCCAGCCTGTATCCATACACGTCATAAGACACCATTCATAAGCTTAACACTCTATTGTTCGCATATTTAAGATATCGCAATTGCACCAGCTGGGGTGCTCGTATTGCCCATTCATATCATTTCTATTTTAAGCGATTGTTTTTCACGGTTCCACCGATTATTATTGCGTCGGACGTCAATGATGCTCGCTGTTGTCATGGTGGTAAAGCAATCCTGAAATCTCAACGCTCATGTTGCAGCTACGAGGATCATGATTGGATCAGAATAACGGACACCACAAAATAGTAGTGCTAACCGACCAATGTTCGGTCGGAATATTAAATTTCGGAATGTTGAAAAGTCGATTCGATTGGGTCACGACCGAACTGAAATTTCGTTCGGATATCCTAAAGTTGAGCTTGGTCTTTGTGATTCAAATAAAGATTAATGTATGCATAGGTATGTTTCAAATGAAATTTGGCTTCATTTGAATTCCATGGTGAGCCATTAACAACATATTAAGCAAGTCCGATGTGATGGTACATATCATGTCCAATTAGCTTCATGTTTTCTGGCTACCCCACCCAAATTATTTTAGAATATTTGAATAAATAGAACCACCATTTGGTTAATTCTCACGGTGCTTTCCAAGGAAAGAAAGTACGGAAATTCATGAAGAACACTTACGAGAAGGAAGAAACTTCACTGGATGGCAACGAACAGAGTATTGCTTAATCATGAAAATATTTCACTGGCTAATAATATCGGCAAATAAAGCGTCTCAACCTTGCACTTATAAACACCAACTAGTTTAGATTTCATTGTTTTTTTCACGAATTATAGCACATTTCAGTAACTGATTTCGTTTGATTTTAATTATTAAAAGATTTTTTCTGTTGCTTGTTAAAACTGCACGTTCTTCATGAATTTTCAGGAGCAACACAGCATTTCAATTCTGGAAACAAATAACAACCATCAATCTTTCTATCTCTGAATATACATTTGAACCCGCAAATAGTAAATGTGCATCGCTATCGTGTGAGCCTATGTATGTAAATATGACTGAAGCAGCATTTATGATTCGACTGACTTTAAGAGGAATACAATGTAAGCAGATTTATTTATGCAGTGTACAATTCTGATTGTGAGTTGTTGGTGTATTCAAATATGTCCGATTGGTAAACGTCAAAAAATTGTAATTTTAAACAGTAGTAGTCATAAGTTATAGTTATTGTAATTATAAGCAAAATTAAGTCGGTAAATTGTTTGGACACTGAGCGGTTAGTTTGCCGATCGCTCTATGCTATCGGCAAAATGTTCGTCATTGTTGCGAATGTTTAATGGATTGATATTCGGCTTCATTTAATTGTGCAAATTATTTATGGCAACGGGCATTCGTTATTGTTTGGTTGTGGAATGCTTGAAACGCCGATTGCTATGGATCTGCTCGGTGACATTAATTATTTATTATTGATAACGAAAGATTACTTATTCATTACTGTCGGTTGTTCCAAACAGCTACTCTGAACGATCGCTGGACGAATGTTCAATCGATCAATCGGAATGTATTTTCGGGCTCCTTTTGAGTCCCTTTCCCTAGAAATCATCGGGCAATAAGGGAGACTAGCCCAAAACCTCTGTGATCGCCAAATACATCAATAAGCGAAGTTACAATTTCATAAAGACTGATGATTCCCAACGCTATTACCGCTAGCTGCGTTGAAGGAAGAATGCCAAGGAAGCAAGAATGTGATATTGGTGAAGCATAAACTCGCAATGAATTGGATTTGCTGATTAATTAAATCAATAAAAAGCACTAGTAGAATATGTTGAGAAATTATATACAATACATTTTGTTTGTTCACACATATATAAATATTTCATTTAAATTTTCGAAGAACAATGAAACGCTGAAAGAAAACTTCAGAGAATCAAGAACGAATTTTTAAATATTTTCTAAAAGAGAGAAGGAGTTCGTGAAGCATCGAGCAAATATTATAGGTGAGGTAAAACAGAAGTTGATGATGAGCAAAAGTGATTAATTGGACGCCTGTGAACGCATCTATTTGCATTTAGAAGAATGAGTAGTGCCCGGACGATGTGCTAGGTGAACCGAATGAAGTACATATTATTAAAATTTCCATGCGGGTCTTTTTGTTGAGTAATCCTCTTTATTGGTTGATGATGAAAGAGTGGCAGTCGATTGCGAGGTAGACTCTTTTTTGGAGCGTGTAAGAAGTTGACGTGACGGTGACGCTCGACGACGATCTTCTGGCACTGTCACATTGCTACGTTGTTCTGCATGCGTAGGGCTCAACAATTGCCTGAATGTTTTAATTTCAATGAACTGAAGGTCACTTGATGGATAATCATCAGTTTGGACACAACTTAATCGATCTATTCGTTGTCTGAGAATGTCAGACTTATTTTTGTCTTCATTAGTCCCATTGTTAATTCTAAATGAACTCAACGATTTGGCAATGTACAGTTAGTTGCAAGCCACGTAGAAATGATCCCAAGATATGATTTTTCATTTTATCAAAGATATCAACCTCTTCTCTTCAACGTTTGGCTTCGTCTCCACAGAACATGGTTTTGGCTTCGCAGGACTCCTGTCTCTGAATCGCGTTAACAATGTTGGCGATTTTGCACGATTAATGCCATTACTAAATGAATAACTGCAAATTTTAGGTCATCAATTTTATTCGTTCAGTTTTTAATCGATCATTGATCTCGTTGTTCTTGTCGTTGACAAATCACCACTGCTGAACTTGAGACAAGTAGTTGATAAAGGAACGATAGATAACTAGAGTACTTCTCACCATGGCTTGTCCTTTTCATCGTCTTTACTCTTCCTTTCGATTTCTTTTTCCCTCTTCTCCAATCCGTTAGGCCTTGGTACTTCAGCCACACTAGAGCATTCGGCGGTACCCACCGAACTCATCTTCGTCTCTCCTACTGCTGTTGCACTCTTCAGTCGGCCTCTACCTTTTTTGTCCGTCATATTTGACTCGAGATTTTGCAACTTGTTTGTGGCCATATGTTCAACAGTTGACATACTTTGCTGCAACGACGAGCCGATGCATTTCAAAGATCATATAAAGAAGTTATTTATTTAATTGTGCTTCTGAATTATGCAGGACGTCATATATCGTAATTTTGTGTTCAAAATTTAGTGCTGATGGTATGTGCAAGAACAAAAAGCAAAATTGCATGCGGTTGTTCAACATTCTTCTCTTTCAACTTTCCACTGCAAACAACACTTAATCCAGCAAGCACTGCTCACTGCGACTGTATCATCGCTTTCTGCTATCCGCTAGTTGCAAAGTAAAAGCTTTATGACCAGCATCAGTATAAATACAACGCATTCAATTACTCAATTTTTGCATAAATTTATTCATTTTTGGATGAGACTGCAAAAGAAACACTAATCGATCTATGTTACAATGAGAACTGACTAGTTCTTAAAAATGGAATAAATTCGTTAGGCAAGAAATACATTTAAGCAAGAAATCACTCGATAGGTCAACAGCACCAAAATATCTCTTATGTACCATCAATTTAATAGCACCTTCAATACAAATGGCTACCTGTACACGTATTATTAAGAGTGAGTGTTATCCGCATATGTAGTAACATCATTTCAGTGATCCATATACAATCAATTTACGTTAACCTTGGATATGTGTTTCAATTAAATACTGATAACAGCAATACTCACATATTTCCACGAATAATTTTTGAGCTGAGAACACCATAATAAGAAAATGTGTTGGAATGACAAATAACAATCGAATATATATGCGACGCAAATTTCAGCGTCAATTTTTCGGCATTAGAAGTTTCGAGTTCGAAAATATCGAATAAAGGAAAGGATCAGGAGTGAATAAGATATTATCGCCCTAAGACTTTTTTCATAGGATAATTCTTAGAACTATGATTAGAATGATGATAAATATTATTAAATGATTATTTGAAGAATAAAGTGTCAATGTTTCAAAACAGTGATCATTCAGTAATCATAACGAATGAATCACAGTGAACAACAAACAGAATAAGAAGAAAATGAACGGAAAAAAAGACATTTTCGAGGACCCGTACTTTCAAAAGGAATCTATTTGAGTACACCGAATAAAAGTTGTATCGCTCATCAACTCAAAAATAAGCAGCTCTTTAATAAAATTAGTACCATTCTTCTATGTCATCTTATCATCCAACAAGTTTTGCGCTATTAAATCCCATTGTATTGGATTCCTCGAGAAGTTGTTATTGAAATCGACTAATAGTGACACGCAGGTTGCTCCTTGTTCAGAATTTTTGAACGAATTCTAAAACTTTTGAAGCAATCACAAGATTTTTGTTGAACTATGAAGAATGAAAACTAGGTAAGAATGAGACGGAGTCTTTCAACTTCAAGTTTTCAGTAGTCTTTTATCTTTGTCCTATAAAAATGAGAGGATTGGTGAATGATTTGTAATCAACCAAAATGTGCACAATCAACAGAACAGTAAAAATCACATGTGCAAATTACATACATGGTGTGGATCGTTCTCAGACGATAAGAAAAAACGCTTGATGTTAATGGTAATAGCATAATAACAAGTTTGGGTATTAATATTCGATTAAGTGATGATCAAATGCTTGATGACAACAATGAGTGGATGTGATGTGCTCAAAACAAATGCTGATCGCACGCACATCAAACGTGCATATCATATTGCTGCTTTCAACAAAAATCATCCCTTACAGATCGATTCTTCTTATTTTCTTGCTCATCTGATCGTTCATTATCATCACAGATTGCCGTCGTTGACTGATTCGATAACTGTTCTTGTAGTTTTGCGATCATTTCATCTTTCTCCTGCAATAGAAATGAGAAATTCTGAAAAAAATGGCTCGCTAGAATGTTAACGAAACAAAATAACGTAATTTTTTGCTATTTTATAACGTCAGAAAATTATTGCAGAGCGACTTATCAGTACCAATTTGTACTGCATGAAAAAAGTGGCGAAGTGCAGCGTTATCGAAAAAATTAGCTCTGCTAATAGCGGATTAATGAACCACTGGTAAAATTCAAACTGAACATAGCTCATATTCTGAAAACTTACCTTTAAGGCATTCGTAAGTTCCTCCAATTTGTTAACTAGATCATCCTCATGCGGTTCTGTTTGTTGTTCTTGACTCAAATATTGCTTAACCTCCTCAACAACCGCAGGCAATTCATCTGTTTGCATACCGTTTGAGATCAATTCAGGCCTAAATTTCCGTTAGGTTTCATTTTCGACGAATAGTTGTGAGATAAAAGGACGAATTGGCTATTATCAAGCTGAGTACTCTTAAATGCGTCTACACTTTCGGAAATAGGAATGTTTCATTGATAAAAAATTGTATGGAAGAGAATTAATTCACTGCAATGAACATAGCAGATACACTTCTAATAGGTTGCTCTGGAACAGATCAAATTAGTAAACTGATAACGTTGCTGATGGAACTTTCCTTTCTTCGCTAAGCAATGAAAATGCTCCGAGCAACACTACAAATGAGTATTCTTCATTCTACTTTGAGCTTACTTTTGGTTACTTCAATACGAGCTGTTTTAATTGTTTCATAAGTTTGTTAGTTAAATTGTCATGATACATTTCATTGACGACACTCACCTGTCTTCTTCCACTTTTTCTTGTATTTTTCTCAACTTTTCAGCCAACTCCATTTCATGCTCTTTCATCAGATCGATTGTCTTCTCATGTTCTTTGTTCAGATTGATAATTTTTTTCTCAAGCACCTGTGCTTGTTGATTATCTCGTCGTCTAAAACAGGTAACACTGCTTATAACTTTTCAAAGTATCAGCATCTATTTTACTACTCCTAGACGATTACACATGCAAAATCAATTTGAACTGTTATCACTCAGCGGTGAAGTGCTGCTTTTAAAAAGCATCTTCTGATCAATTTGACACGGATTCGTTCCAATTTTGATAACATTCACTGACAAACATGTAAAAACTTTACTCTAATCAAGAGCGAGAACAAATGAGAGAAGTTGGGATGCGTTTCGGTAACTGATACCTGAGATATTCATCAGTTTTCCTACTAAAGTTCTTAATCTCGATATTTTTCTTATCAAGTTCAGCTTTAATAGTGGTAACTTCGTGGAGCAGATTTTTCACGCGACTGTGAAGATCCTCAATTTGTTCTGATTTTGCTTTCGAATCCTCTTTGAGAAGAACAATTTCATCATCCAGTTTTTTGTTCTAAAAACAAAAAAAAAAATTGAACACATTAAGAGTATCTTTCAGCTAGAATATGGCTTGAACATTTTACACTACTGAAAGAAAATACTGACCAATTGCATGAAATGAATATTCGGCTAATTCAATTATTGATGAAATATAAAAGATATGTAGTCATTAGACGGTTAATTTTCTGAAAGACTGTGATTTGGAAGTGTTCCGTGAAAAAGTAATCCGAGCAAAAACCTCTTGTTCGGCGTCTCTTTTCACTTTCTCAAACTTTTCTTCGTAGATTGCTGTCACTTTTAGCGTTTCTTCTTCCACTCGATCTTCAAAGTGCAACTCGAATTCCTCTGTAATCGCACTTACAAAATACTCGCTTTCGATTATTGAAAAAACTTTCTGTGAAAAAGTAATCCGAGCAAATGAAACAATACTTAAATGAATGTAAACCCAATGAAAATTAGCGCATGGCTTCATATCGAATAGAAACAACCAACCTTTTGTACGTTGTTGACTTGCTTCCATTTGATCGATACGTTTCTCTCGATCATTCAAATCACTCATTAATCTCTCGATCTGTTGGCAATATGAGGAGATCCGCTGAAGAAATATCAATCATTTTTCAAATCTCAATAGTTTAATCAATGTCTCGTCTCGTCTTCTTCCGTACAAGAAGTGCTCAACTACATTAGTAAGTGCATTTGAAAATGAGATAAAATATTGAACGTGAGCATCCTATTCATTTTATTCGACAATGTGTCGTAACAATTAGATTCAGGAATGAGAATAGTTGAGTGTTCGTAATCGAATGAGTAAACCACTTGCGACCCGAACAACATCTGCTGAGTGAGGATATGAACTGATTTTACCTCGCCATCCTCGGAAATATTCGTTTCACTTTCAGTTTTATCGTTAAATTCTTTCAGTTGTTCCTTAAGCTGTTCATTTTCAATCTGCACCTGCTTCATCATTTCACTAATCTTCTCTCGTCCAATCTTCTCAGCTTCCTGTTCTTCTTCCAGTACACGAATCTGAGATAAATTTCACGTTGCAGCACCATTATATTAACCTATTACTCCAAACCTTATCAATAAGCTCTAAATCAGTGGTTCTCATAAGGGGTGAAATTATCCATTTTGGGTAATTTGGAGGTGTCAAGGGATAATGGAGGGGATCAGGAAATTAGTATTCCGTGCAGTTGTTATGTTATGATAGAAAGCCATTGTGATGGTTTTTTTAACTCGGATATGTAAATGCAATCAGTTGGTGGCAACACTCTTCATTTTCCTGTTTTCTGAGCATCATTAGCTCGTTCGAGCCTAACAGGGTTTTCAGTTGTTTTGACAGGGTTTTCATTCTTTTCCTTGCTGTTGCAATCGCTCTCATCACTTTTATCACCAAATGTGTTCTCTTTTGCTAATTTCTCATTCGTTTCACTCAACAATTAAAGTCAAATTCTCATTCTATCAAATGCACTCTATAATTGATCATTTGACTGTCGAACGTTGTTGAGCAATTCAATTCAATTGCTGCATTGTTGATTTCGGCTGTCAACACTCGTCAATGTATCCAGTAAATAGTATATGCTACAGAATAAGAAATTGATTCGAGCTGTGAAGTGAAGTGATACGAAGTGAATGAGAAAAACTCATCAAGAGAACGATATTCGCATGTAATAGCTATGAGAGTGAATACAACACGTCTGAAAAGAAAGAGAATCCACCTAAATCAGTTTGAAGCCAGACAATAGTTTTTCATGCAATCATAATCGACTGCAGTAGTAAACAAAACCACGGTGTAGGACACCAATTTCTTTCACGCCGTTGAGAAATTTCCAGACCGATTTTCCGTTTGTCCCTGACATTATACGTAGAAACAGCAAGTTACTGCACCAGGGGAGAAGGGGGTAATGGCGGCCTGCCAGATCATCAAAAGAGGTAATGGAACACAAGAACGTGAGAACCACTGCTCTAAATGATTAAATGTCATGAAATGGTTCACGCCAAAATGTTTGCTTACTTACCCTTTTTCCCATGCTTTCAAGCTCATCATCCTTTTCAGCAAATTCACTCGAATTGAGAAGCTCGGCTCTAAAATGCAATAATCACTTCTTTTTCTTTTCAGTGCTAATTAATCTAAAATAATATGTGACAAACAATTATGATGCATTAAAAGAAGTTAAAATCGTCTCATCTCCAACAAACTGATCTCTTCATACTGAATCATAACAGCATCCCGAAAATGAACCTTATCTCATCACGTATCACTGAAAGCTGATCATCATTCAATTCGTTCTCTTGTTCCACTTGTTTCTTGAGTGTTACAATTTCATCCTCTTTTTCCAACAGCTCCCGTTTGCTTCTTTCTAGTTCCGCTTTTAACTCGTCAATTTTGTCGATCAATTTCGATAGATCGTTTTCAGATGTGTTATTGCCATCAGCCTGAATGAAACAACATTCCTTCAGAAATTACCGAACAAGACGTGATAACGATAAGAAGACAGGCCCTTTCTAGTGATGAATACCTCTATAATGACTGTTTCTTGTAAGAGGCGAAAATGTAAACCAACAAACAAATTCAATTTTGCATACGTTAATAAACAAAACAACAATGTTTTGTACCTTCTTCCGCAAAAAATGAATATTGCGTGTAGTATGTTCATTCAACGAATATCACAACTTAATTGATATGATCATTTTATGATCGTTTCATGAATTTACCTCAACATCGTTATCATTTACAGCTTTCAACTTTGACTTCAATGCATTCAGTTCAACCACGAGAACTGAGTTCTCGCTTTGAAGTGAACTAATTTGCTCTTCTGTTTTCTGAAACAAACAATATCAAAAGATGAATACGAAGCAAAGAAAATCTCAAAAAAAAAATTTACGACACAAACAAATTTGCACATCAATTTCGTCTCTTTGAACAACTTATTGTAAAATTTAACGAAACTGCCCAAATTTGGTGTTTGAGTAGGCAAAAAAGAAAATAAAGCCAGACGATGACAGAATTATTCAAAAGACTGACAACCGATAGAGATTAGTTTCTCATGAAATAATGCTAAATAAATTTTCTTGCGGATCCAATGATGAAGCATCAAAACAACGAACACCCTCAAGCTCTTGTTTATCGCGTTGTGCGTTGCTCTCCAGCTGCTCCTTCAAACCATTGTATTGTTCTTCCAATTCATTCAGTTTTGCACTGAATTCTTTCTTCATTGCAAACTCACGCTCTTCGGCTTGTTGTCGTTCTCTGTCCAATAAACCTTCGTAATGTTCTTTTGTTGATTCCTTTTCTTTGGTTACTGACTCGAGTACCTTCAAATGTTATCGACGTTGCTTATTTAGCCGTAGAGATGATTGATGGCAAATTTCATTTTTGTGCACTATCAATTTGATGGCACAAAAAAGAAGTCTTATCATGACGAAAACTTACCGCCTCTAGCGCATGCACTTGAGAGTTTTGCAATTGTGTCTGACTTTCGCTTTGACTTTGCAAATTTTCACGTTCCTTCTCCAGAAATTCGACCTTTTTCTTGAGTGCTTTCACCTCTGTTTGAAGATCACGAATTACCGCTTCCAATTTACTTTTCGCAGTTTCAACAATATTCAACAGATCTGTAAATGCGATAAAAACAGAACAATTCACGTTGTATGAACAACAATAATTTGTATGCACCAATAGATATGGATATTATTCGAACGAGAGATTTCCTCTTTCTTTGACCGCATGAATATTATTGATCATTTTAACTTGAATATGAGATTTTCAAACATACAAAAAGAGGATGATAAATGGATTGATAGTTAAGATACCATCTGAGAACAAAAAAAAAACAAATTCCTACTTGATTTTCGTTGCAGTTCCTCTTCTTGCTCTCGGTACTGTTGCTTGGTTTGTTGTAGTTCACTTTCAACTTTCGACAGCTTTCGTAATGAATCATTCGTTTCATTTCTTGCCTCTTCCAGCTGATTTTAAAACATTCATTTCATTTTGTCTCTTTTAGTATCGGTATTAGTTGTTCGGATCATTTAACAATAATGAAGAGCAATTATCACAACAATTAATTACTATCAAACTAAACATGATCCGTATATTATGATGATTGATTTAATTAGATGGCTCGAAATGGTGAATACTTCTTTCGAGATTGCGAGTAGTTCGGCTTCTTTGGCTTGCAAACGTTTCTCGAGGGCGGTCACTTCATTCTTACAAGTGGCAAGCTCTTCTCGACTCCTCTTCGATTGATGTTGAAGTTCTTGCAATCGATCATGGAATTCATCCTGCCTGAACATCATCAACTCCTCAAAAAGAACACATCCCACAGAATCGATAACAATCACGCAAACAAATACCACTCAGGCCTATCACCTTATCGACATTCTTTCATCAGTTGCAAATCAGTGTAGAATCAGTCAACCTCAGATTTGAATCCACAATAAATATGCATTAATGAACCGATTTTCACATTTGTGTCGTCAACAAAATCGCATGCTTCATTGTTATTTAAAATATGCCATAACGCACCTCGCAAGCAGCTCATCTTTGAGAGCTTCCTCGTGATCCCTAAGTGCCTCCAACTCCTTCGAGTAAAGCATCTTAGCTGCGGTCAGTTCAGTTTCGTACAAGCTTTGTGCGCGTCGAAGCTTCATCTCGAATGTTTCGCCCAATCGCTCCTTTTCAGCTTTCAGACTCTTTCGTTCCTCTTCTAATCGTTGTATTTCAATCATATACCTGAAGCAATGCTTACTTCATTTCACATTCAGTGTTTCTCACTTGTTTAATTCTAAAATATTGCGACAACTGTTGTTTGAAAAGATGTTTTGTTTGCATTCGCTGAAATAACTCTTTGTCGTTTACTAAGTTGATGTAAGAGCATCTCGCGCTTACTTCTGCTCCAAATTGAGCAACTGTGATTCCGAGAACCGTTGTTCCAAGAGTTGAATTTCTTTCTGGTGTTCTTGCCGAAGCTTTTCCAATGCTTGTTCTTTTTCACGTTCAAATTTATCCTTCAATACGTTACATTCAAACGACAATATGGAATGGGTGTTAATTGCTTCAACAAATAATATTGCCTTCAAGTGAAGCTTTTATTCCAAAAAATTATGATGTTTGCTTTGATCGGTGATAGTTTCATCATCAGATGAATAATCGGTATGGAAAAGACAACAACCTGAAGCGCTTGAAAACTCTTCATCCTCGCTTCAAAGTCCTTCTTTGCCCCTAACACCTCTTCACTGAGAGCAATTATTTTACTCGAATATTCCGCTTCGAGTTTCCTCTCTCGTTCAGCTACTCGTTCACGATATTCACTAAATACAACTTATCACCTCCAAACCATACGCTCACAGTTACAATTAAAACAAACGTGATTATTCATTATACCTAAAAGTGCCCATAACATTATATTTCTGTCGTTCATATTCTGCAACCGTATCTTCAAGGGTTTGTATCTTCTTCTTCAGTTCAGTTTCCCGGCCTCGTGTCGCTCCTTCAAGACTTGTCAGTATTACGAAATGAAATGACACTGATGATAAATTGACATTATGAATGGTGCACATACCTGTTGACGTAGCGGCCACCTTAATCATATTGATGAGCTTAGCTGGTTCGTCACACGACGTGCTGTCTGCTTGTTGCTGCTGGTTGTTACTGCTCTTTGTCTGCGGTACATTCGGTGGTGTAGGCCAAGCAGCGATATCAGGCCGCGAATCTCGAATTATCGTTGCCGATTGCAAAGGCGACTCCACACTACATAAATTCACGATCATCCAAAACGGCTTCACAAAACAGAGATATTGGATTAAGGTCGTACTATTTTTTGGAAATGCGGTAAGAATGAGCGAAATGAATTTCTGTTTTAGTTGCATGTGTCATTATTACACAATTCGATCATTTTATGACTAATACTCAGCTACGGAGAGACTGCTGCGTGAATTGCGCGAGTGAGTGACGATCATCAACCAAACTTGATCTACTTTTAGACTCATATTTTTCGTCGTCATCAGTTGCAGCAAACAGACTTCACCGAACCATAACACCGCTTTTCAGCATGAAGGAATGCACTTATTATGCATTCCTTGAGAACCGCATGATAGCATTAGAATGACCTGCTCAGCGAGTCGCATCATCACACAACTTCGCATATAAAAACTTCAAATAAAGATAAGAGGATATATATGGCCAGAAATGTTTTGTAATTTTGTATTTATGCATTGCTACTTCCAGCAAGAAGAATGGAAACATTTCGGGGAGAGTGGACAATGCACACGCCGATATATTTATAAAAGCAACTAGAATGAAAAGTGCAGCAGCAATTAATGAGGAAAAGAAGATGAAAGTGTGCGATAGGTAGGTAAGAGGATACTTGTGAAATTTGTTATCATCGAATAGAATGCAAGTAGGTAGAGTGAGAAAATGACTTTCAAGAGATTGAGCAGCTGTTTAACAATACCTAGCGGCATAAGTTGCTGCTGCTATGATGATGCGATGCACTATTACGCTTAATCGTACACGTTAAGTTAATCATTGCTGTTGTTATTATTAAAGCACATCAAGATTTTGTTCATTCGTTTTGGTATTTGATTGCTAGGTACCATACTGTTGCTGCTGAATAATCATTATGATGATCAGCACAGATCCATCTTGCAAGGAACTAATAATGTTTCATTCACTCTGAGATCGATAGATGATGACGACACAACATCAGACACAAGGTGATTGTTATTTTCAGAAACTACATCATTCATAAGTTTCATTCACCTTTGTTTTTCTTGTTCCTGAAAGTATAATGGATAATAACAATAACAAACGAACTTTCTATGCGGTCTTGGTGAACGGCTGTTACGACGTGATCCTCCTCCGGTACTGGTTGTGATCGGCGAAACCGATCTCAGATGAGAGCCCATCGAGCGCTCATCGAACTCATCTGACAGATGACCCAACTGAATAAAGCATTTAACAAATTCCATCAACTTGTTCCATACAAACAAATATTACAAGTGTGAATGAAATGCATTATTATCGCAGATCATTTCTCATTCATCTAGATATATGTCACTTTAATCAGTTGAGGATAATTTCACAGGTGCAGCGGATGTTGCTGATAAATTCGGAATCTTTTGATTGACGTTTTGCACGCTGCGATGAACTTGTTCAATTCAAGCGTAAGGAAAAGCAGTGAAATAGAACTTCGCCAAGGCACTCAGCTTCGCGCATACATTAAGTATTAGCAGATATAGATTTACGCATTGCAAGATTGTTTAGGCAACAAAGCAGAATGCAATAAAATGAATTATATTTTGCATCAAAACAGGTGAATATAAATAGCAGTCAGCTTTCGGCATGCCATTTTTGCTGTTCGTGTATGCGTGTTCCTCTTGCTGGATTGAGTAAATACAGAAGTTACCCACCCTTTCTCGAAATCGCTCTGTCATTTGTGGTCAAATGACCACTGGAAAGGTCGGTCGATCAAACGCGTACTGATGTTTGTTTTATTGTGTTATCAATCGTAATGTTGTTATCTTCAATGTGGATTAGCAATTTTCGCGTATATATTCTCGTAATTGCGTTGATTTATCGTTCGAATCTTAAAGTTATTTCCGCTTCACAATGTGCTCCAGAGAGAATAAATGAGCATCTAGCATTCAAAATTCAAACATTCATCAATGGATGAGCACTATGAAATGAATCACTGAACAATCGCACCAATGCACTTCCGCCTGATTTATTCATATATCGAATTCTATCAAAAAAATTAATCATTGTGCACAAAGCGAGTACATAAAACATAAATCTTTAAAGTTTGAATTCGATCGCATCAGCTTTGCACCATCACCGAAACGATCGATTCGCTTTTATTTATGTGCGTGCCTTGCATCAATCATAACGTTTCTCATCAACAGCTGACGTTACGCTTTGCCATACGTACTTGTTAGATTTATGGCTAAAAATATGCCCAATGACGTCAACAACAACCATCATCGTCATTTGAGAATCGTTAATCGTATCCTATCATCAACAGAATCTGAATATTCAACAAACAATTCCAGTGCGCTGAGAATGAACGATGTGTTTTTGGTCAGTTTAAAATTAGAATAGCACATTTCATAATGACGGACGATTTCAATTTTGTTGATACAGATGTGTTGTTGTTGATCAAAAACGATCGTTTGTTTGAAATTGCGGTAAGGAAAAAAAGAAGAAGTAGAAACCGACGAATGTGCATGCTTGTTACTATCACGCTGTTCCAACTGTGCACAGCTTTACTATTGCATAAATAGGTTTGACAGATACGACTGATATGGATGAGAATCACAACAAATCTAGAGGACGTTACCGATTTTAACGGTAACGTCCTCTACATTCGGGGAAATAAAACTGATCCGGGGGAAATAAGAGAATTCAACGACCATTTCGAAGATACACTTTTGTCAATGCAGCTCGCGAAGCAACGAAAAAATAACAGTCTGATGTTATCGGACTGCGATAAGTCTTTTTTTTTTTTGTTTTCCAGACAATGCGAGTTAGCTTTGTTTTAGTCATCGCATACAGATTATTTTGAATCAATCGGTGCAAAGGATTTTGGAACGCAATTCTATGTTTTTCATAGGAACAAGTGGAAAGGTTTCAATAAGCACTGATGACAATGTTAGCATGCGCAATAGTTTGCTGATTTGAAGAAAAATCGACACGGGTCGGTAGCTATTTCTGTGAAATGCTTTTTTTTAGTTATTTGAGAGTGAAATACTTTTGTTATTTAAAAAAAGGCAATAAAATTTGCATGGGAGCAATTTAATCAAACGAAAATGAACTGGTCATCAGTCAATCCCAAAAGCCACCAACATTCGCCATATTTTTGTACTGCGAGAAATGTGCACACATCCACACACTGCACATCGTCAAATTGTAAGTTGCATTCAAAGCTGTTGTAGAATGTCGAATCATCTGAACAGTTTCTGAACAACAGTTTTACCAGTTGGTCCGTATTAGCGGTTCTTATGCCCCTGCGGCACGTGCTCTTTTTTGTTGGTATGGCAGACCGCCATTCCCACCACACTCCCTTTCAGCAATCAACTCTGACAATCGATTACTTCTGGGTGACCTAACGATCGGAAATAATGCCATGCGTCTGCTACAGCATCAGTATCCAAATAAAAAACGTTCATTTCAAAAGGTATGAAAAGGCGACAAGGTTTAGCAAGACCATTATTTTATTGTATCAGAACGTGAAGTGATCACATTGACCAGTGCAAAAAGAATGCACGGGTATAATAAGTAACATACACGATGATCTTATATCAACTTTTTCTTTTGTTGAATTGAGTGATAACAGCAAAAAAGAAGAAGAAGAATGATCACGAACAAACAAACAAATCACAAGGACGTTTTTCAAAGGAATTCATCTTCAAAAAAATAACGAAAGTTTTTATGAGGAGAGCGAATGAATGAGCTGTAGTGCGTTGAGGTGAAATTGTGAATGAATGAATTGAAGTTGGTTGTCTAACATCGTAAGCAATACAATACATAACAGAACAACACATCACAATGATGTGGTGCTAGTGCTGTTTTTGCTACACTGTTCGAGATGAAGAAGCATATCAGATCAGGAGGGTTTGATTGGGGGAGGGTGGATCCTTTATCCATTATGCATTCTTCCTACATCCGACCTAACCAACCATAAAACTAAAGCGCCGTCGATCATTCCATCCAACAGAAGAGCACCAATTGCTCTACATCCTAATATCAAACTATGCTCTGATACACTGCACATACTGATGTATTCGACATAATCCGTTATTATTTCTATCATACCGGCTCTTTGATAGCCTTAAGCTATCTTCACTCACTTACCACCGACTTCTCACTTTCTTTCCTCCTTCATACGAACAAACTCTTACAACAGCAACACTTTTATCAGTTACAGCAGATAGCCTATGTAACTCTTATTTGCCATAGGCCACCCAAATAAATTCAAGCAAAATTTTTTATAGTAATATTACACTGTCCAGCAATGATTTTGTTGCAGAAATAAGAATGCGGTTTTTCTAGAGGAACCTTTTTTTGCAGTTCATGAAAATGAAGTCTAGTTCTCACCTAAAGACTCCAGTTTTTTTGGTGTTTTCAAATTATATATTTTTAAACTTCCGGAGAATTTGAGTCTATAAATGCACAGGATATCATACTCATTACAAACGTCGGTAATTTTGATATTCCTGCTGGTTTGATGCTAGATGGGTTTAAAATAGGGGATCTACCGGCAATCCTCAACCAAGTCTGGAGCCGTAGCTATTTTTGCGAGAAATCCGCCAATTCAGAGCTTGTCGTGTTCAATTGCCCCGGTGTTCTATACGAATTAGTGTTTAGTAAAACGATCACGCTACTCCTCTCTTCTCCTTTATTACTCAGCGTTCTCCACCAAGTTTTATTTTTTAAGTACGGCGATGAAGATGCTTTCATGCCACAGAGCGAGCCCATGGTATCTCTGGTCAGTTATGGCATATTCCATTTCGTATCAAACTAGCTCCCCCCACGATTCTACCTAATTTTAACACCGGTCTATTCAACAAACGCTTACTTTCTTCGTTACATTTTAAACTGTTTATTAAACCAGTCATTTTTTCTCATTACTTTCCAAACTTTATAGGAATTAGCCCATTTTTCTACATTATTTTTCAAACCGTTTTAAAAAAAATTGACCACAACACAAAAATATCGCAGTGATGATGAATTTCTTTCAAGAAATCGCCAGCCCGGCCACTATTTGCGCTTTTACATCTTTTTTTGAATGAAGCTGTCAACTCATTGTCAGTCTATGGATACATTTTTCAAAATTTTTCGCTTCAGCGAAAAATTTTGAAAATAAACTGAAACAATGAAAAACATCTGCTGAAGGCATGATATTAAGTGCCAAATAGGTCATCCTCGTATCTTCAAACGGGTTCAAGCAATAGCTCAGTATTAATCAGGTGATATTAAGTTTGTCCTAATGGAGCCGATTATACGCCTTTAAGAGCAAACGGTCTACTCTAGGGCCGAGTCAGGAGCAAAATCGGGCTCCGGAGCCCCCGAGGTCCCAAGGTCAGGGGCTCCGATGGTAGAGAGGTAGGCTGGGACTCGCGAAACCTCGTAATTACCCGGAAGCCCGCGAAACCTCGTAAGCACCCGGCGTCCCTAAAGGTGATGGTCTAGGACCAGGAAATAAGTAACCATGTATACAATTTTAAGTTCTCGATCCTACTCTTCTGCCTTATTTGAATACGAAAATACTGGATGACTATATCCTCAGAATCGCTGAGCACAAGGTTTATCTTATCTGTTTCAGACATCTAGGAAACCTCCAAAATTATGCTAATGGTAATCTATTGACATTCGGTCTCGTCTCAACAATACGCATGAGATGTTGATAGACAGCTAGAGTTGAATGAAATTTCACTCCTCAATAACTTCAACACGGCTGTGGTAGTCAATCGTCCGAAGCAATCACGTGCTTCGCATATTTTCATGTTCTGTTAAAACTCTTTTCGTTAAAACAGTTTCGCTGCAGAACAATATCACACGATGAGTAATTCATTTACTTATGAACAATTCACCCTAACATCGCTATCAAATAATTTAAAAACGAATAAATTAATCAGCAACCATAACACAATTGATTCACCGACTCGCTAAGTATGACAATGAAATGATGCATATGAAGAGAAACTGCTTCAGTAAACTGAAAATAGCATTCTGACAAGTTTGTAAAAAATCCACCAATGCATATCACAGTTCGTCGCTGAGAGGTTTTTCTTTTGGGAATAGTAGTAATATGAAACAACAACAACAATAACAACAACATCAAACTAATCAAAAAATATTCATAAGAATAAATGGAATGACACTAAACTCAAACAAATACTGCTTGTTTTGTTGACGCACTCTAATACCACGATAGTAAAATCCAACGCAGATTACAAAACAAATCAAAAGCAACAAAGTATTCCAATAACAACAATAAAATAAAGGTTAAAAAATGAACGATTGCACTTGTTCATAGATAAATGCTACAAATACGTACAAAATGACAAAAACGAACTCGAATATTGATGAGTAAATGAATAGTGACTACTTAGATATTTGGTGGAACTTAAAAAACAACTGCTGCTTAACATAATCAGTCAGAAAATCTGGTGCTCAACCAAAATACGAATGTATGAAGAACAAATGAAATGTGCTCAGCACATATGCTCCCATTTCACAACTAATATAAACAGCAAACAAAAACAATGACCGCTCACAGTAAGAGAGGATAACGAGAAATGGAAACATCTATCACAGAGTTAATTGAAACTTTGACAAAATCTTATCAATAATATTGGTCAATGAACTTACTTCAATCACACACTCAAGCATTACCACGTACGAGCAATTCAAAGTGACAGACCATGCACTAAGCACGACAACAATTCAAGGATTCGCGAAAATATTGAAGTGCAAAATGAATGTTTCCTATAAATAAGTTAAATCTTTTGATCGTTTAGTACAATGACTGAATAAAGTATGGAATGATATCATTACTGCCATCATTATCATTATCCACATTCAAATAAAATCATTAATGATAACAAACAATAGTGAATGAATAATGACAAATTTGAAGACTCTCTCAAAGTTTCACATTTTTATTTCTCTCTTCGGCTAAAGTTACATTCAGAAAAGTCCATTCCCATCGTTGCGTTTCTTTACTTACATCACAAGGCTCCATAAAGATCTCACCACGATCCGCATCACAGTCCATACAGCTATTACTGATCACATGATACATTTGCTGACTTTTGGGTAGGTATTTGAACAATTGATTACCTTTCATACCGTGACTACAAAATTCGCCATTATTTCAATAACTGCTCATAAATAATCATAAATCATCTATATAATCAGCAACTGAAAACATTACCTACCATGCGAACAAAACAACAGGAGCTTTTCTCACTGATGTCGAAACATCGAAACACATTGAACGGCCCGTCGGTCTAACATCATACCAAAAAGTCAGTCTTAGATTCTTAAATACATTGAAGATTATAACTCGGTACTATCAGCAATTCATTTATCTTTAGTCAAATAAACCGAATTATTGCGTATAGTGAAACTCACTTGCTCTCCACCTCCAGATGGATCGTCACTTATACATTGACGTAATTCAAAACGTTCATCTTTACCACGAAACTGTGTATCAACACATTTTTGTGCTTTTACGTTGCGTAATTCACCTTTAACAATAAGCCATTAGCAATCACTTCGAATCGTTATTCAAGACTGAATCGAGTACCGGTATTTATTTGAATGCGATGAATATTTCTGTGAGGATGAAATGAGAAGAAGATAAAAACTGTTTTAAACCATTGGCAGTATCTGGCGGCTCGACAGCTGGATAATATTTGTCCTGGTCGAAAGCGATCTCTTTCATGAACCAATCGAATGACTTGCATTTTAAGCGTTCACGAATGCCTTTTTGTTTCGTTAGATCGCCTACAAGAAACAATCATTATAAACAGTGATATTAGTGACAGTGAACAGTGAACAACGGCTGCGATTAGGGTTTGCAAAATCCCGACGATTTTTCAATCCCGGGATCGAAAAATTATTGGAATATCGATGCGGGACATGTTCAAACGCATTTTTTCGAACCGATATGTTCATTATTAATCAGACAGGAGCTAAATCAACAAATTATTGAACAAATCCAAGGAACTAAGTATTCAAATTTAAATTAATATTTCATATAATGATGTCAATGATCATACCGCAAGGGCATACTGCATTTTCTATGCTAAGGCATCTTATCATCACGGGTTTAAGCTAATAACAGTACACTTGCATGTGAAAATGATATTCTTGATTCTCAAACACTTATTTGCAATGCTTCAAGTCTAGTTCCTCTCAGTATTAACGTCAGCAGAAATCTGCCGTTTCGGAAATTTCGATTTTTTACGGAAGAAATGCACCGCATGAATTATACTATTTGAATTTTGAAATAATTAAAAGTTCGAAGTTTATCTAAATGGTAAAAAAAATATCCGCAATCGATTTTCATCGAACCATCGAGCACTTAAATATTTGATAATTTCGATCAAAATTCATGCAAATGTACTTGATATTCAAGCATAAGATCCTTTTGAATGGAACAACTTTGCTCACTTCGGCAATGAACTCTCACTATGAGTGAACTCAGTGAGAATTTATGTACATTGCGATACGAAGTAAAAAGACTTGCGGTCTTTGGAACATGCAGTTGAATTAACAGAGGGAATATTGAAGCCGAACAAATCTTGTGGGAGGAAACGACTCAACATTTCATTGAACTTTGTTGCTCTTGGTTTTTATTAGAAAATGTGATTATCTCTGTTAGTCTATTACATAGAAATGCATTCAGATGAACGTGATATAAACCAATGAAGAGCAGAATTATCAGTTGAATATTCAATGAAATGTTACGTAAAAGTTCATCGAGCTGTCGTTGATCATGTCATTCGTCCGAATTGCGTCTATTTCCTTTGCTGAACATCAATGATAGGGGGCAAACAGCAAAGATAACTGCATTTAAATTAGATGGGAATGATTAAGGCTTGCTTCAAGATGGGCATACTATCAAAATTCACACAAATTGACCTGTTTTATCAAATCCCGAAATCCCGGGATTTTCCAAAACTTAAATCCCGGAATCGGGATCAGAACTGTAATCCCGGGATCCCGTACAAACCCTAGCTGCGATCAGTAAAATAATAGAAAAAGAAAATCGTTGTGACGCAAGAATTGAAGCGATAAAAAAGAGCAAATTGCGATGATAACAAAACGAAAATGAAAGTAACCTTCATCTTCTTCGCGCATTCCAATCCTTCTTTTGTATAAGTGATCCTTGTATTCATCCATCCAGACTTCGGCAACCCTCCAAAATCGGAATGAAATAAGTTGAAAAAAAAGAAGGATAAATTTCCATGGACTATCGCCCAAAAATCGGTTCCATCACGATCGAACCTCAACTCAACCTCACTCATACATTAGACCTTCTATGCGAACTTTTCGGTGGCAAGCAACTTTTCAAATGAATAATGCAATCAATTAGAACATTCATTCATTACCTTTTATAGTTACGTGCTATAAAATTACCCTTTCCCGGATTCGGGAATGGAACGTATTTGCAACGATAGATGTGACCGACACGAGAGCACGGCGCGTCTAACATAGTACCGTGACACTGCCAAACCTGTAAAATGTTCCTTAACAAAACTTAAGCGCACATTACTATTGTAAATACACATTTGCATAGAACTTCTACACGAACGTAAGCGATCAGTAACAAGGAGAGAGAAAAAATACAGAAGATGCAAACTTAAATCATGATTTAACCTTAAATGATAATTCATATTGTTCACCTCCCCAAATATCGAGTCCTTCATCATAACCGCCCAATTCCCAGAACCATTTACGACTGATGGCAAAATAGCCGCCCGCCATCACAGGATTCTTGAACGGTCGTGTGGGATGCTTTAAGTCTTCGTCTGTCAGTGGAACACGTTTGTAGTTGAATTCCCAATCAAATGATCCTCAACGACAATCAACAGTTAGCATTACTGTCTTATAAGCGAGCTCTAAAAATCAGCTTACATTAAATATGAACGATCAATACAAATTAATTTGAAATTAGGTTGACGATATACCGATAACTTTTAAAAGACACAGATGAATGGTATGCAAGAACCATCTCGATGATATCCTAGATGATTGTAATTTGGCGAGTAAACTGACCAAACTGGTGCTGAGGAGGGAACGAAGGTTGAAAAAAAGAGGAAAGAAATCAAGTTAGATATATTACTGAATCCATAAAATGAGAATGATTAAAATTAGATGGGTGATGTAGCTCCCGTTTTTTTTTAACAGGGACAAGAAACCGATTTCATATGGTGGAACTGATCCGAGTAATACTTGGAGCAGTTGTGAGGAGACAATATATTGGGAGATTAGATTCTAGGCTCTAACTGCGATTCAATTTGCGAAAAAGAGTTTTGTCCTGTTTCATTCTGACAGTTTTTAGTTCGGCGAATCAACGATAACGTGCCCATCTCTGCAAAAATGAAAGATGATTGGGTGATAATCATATTTTTTATATCTACCTCGCGCACCCTCATCTTGAGATCGGTACTCAAACGTATCACAGTCGATCACATCAACAAATGGACATACCACTGTTCTAAAAAGCAATCAAACATAAAATATATCGATAACGCAATTCGCTTAACAAAATTTGCTAGCTGAATGACATAAATAGATAGCAATGATGCAAGCAGAGCCAGCAACAACACTGAACACTATTACCTGTAATCAAGAGTAATTGGTTCAATTAGAGGAGGCAACCAATTGTAGTTTGGTTCTGAGTGTGCGTCCAAGAAAACCATTATATCTGCAGTTGCGTGCTGGGCACCGATTTGTCGAGCACGTATCAGTCCTTCTCGTTCTCTACAGCAAATAAATTCATTCATCCCAGTTCCCCTATTCGAAAATTGCTTCTTTTTGATGATTGTAATGATTGCAATAATAATAATAATAATGGTTGCGACAAGCAATCTGACTGATAACTGAACTGATTATTTCGAATATTTCATATTAAATGCATTCAAACGAATAATCATTTTTGCAACTAGACGACTCGTGAATAAAAGTTAAACAAAACTGAACAGTTAAGAGAGCAGCTTCAACATACTTTGTTCTAACCACTTTGACAATATGATCAATACCCGCATCCTTGAGAAACTTGTCAAGCGGTTCCTTCAAGAACGGCTTCGTGCTTGCATCATCAACCAAAATAATCTCTTTTAGCACATTTTTTGGTGATCGTTCGATCACCGAATATGCACTCCTCAATAGCGTCGAATTATGCTGTAACATAAGCGATAACATTTTTACTCACATCAAATCAACAGTAGACGAAATTGCAGACGAGAATTTCAGCAATCAATTATCGATAACTCATTGTTCCTTCGAATTATTCATTTAAACAATCTGAGGACTGTTCTATCGAAATTACACTCCAGTAATTAACAAGCGAATCAACGAGCGATTAACCGCTTATTAGCGTAGAGGTAAAAGAAGTATTGAATGAGAACAATATTGCATTCACTGACCTCATCGTGGAATGGGAATATCACTGAAACTGACGGTAATTTCTCAAGATATTTGATTTTCTTACAATCTTTATGTCGTATATCCTTGATGGAACGATTCAAAGCAATCAAATCGCTCACATACGCATTGTATCCGTTTGCTCGATACAATTCATCCTTTAAACTAATCACGTTTTTTTTTGCACCATTTCAACTAGTACAAATCAATAATCACTGTTCGTAAATCTAATGAAGACAGCACATATGAACAACAATGTAACGTCTAACAATTTTTTGTTTCAGTTCTGCATCAGACGGAATCGCGACCGGTACACCCCCTTCTCCTGGTCCCTTACGTTCCTTGTCTTTCGCTATTGCTTCATAATCCTGCCAATCTTTCTTTTCCAAATTTTTATACATCGCAAATGGATCAGCGCCATCTTCTACTGTAACATCACAATGAAAATAATAATGATGATAATGATTAATAATAATAATAATAATAATAATAATAATAATAATAATAATAGTTTGTCTTACAAATACTAATTTAAAAACAATTACCCTGCATCTGCTCATTCTGATTTCCAACGAACACGCCAGCCATCACTCCACGTGGACGTTGTTCCATTTGTAGAGGAGAGAAGCGATTCAGCGATAATCGAGGAGCAATAAATACCGTGTAAACCAACACCATACAGCCAATAACAACAACGTATTGCAATAAACGCACCATTCGACGACTTATGAAAGGTGATAGATGTTGCACACATGAAGAAGCCATTAGGCTATATAATTCGTCTTCGTATGACTGCAAAGCCCTGAAATCAATTAGGAGTGAACAAGCATCGTTCATTGTAATCATCCACGAAACACGGATTTACACTACGAGTTGAACTTAATCAGCAACACGCGGTCATTCACTGTATTCGGAACAGACGATTTCGCTGCCTTTGGTGCCATCAAAGTGACACCAAAGCGATTCGAGAAGCAACATGAGCAGTCTGCACGAACAATCGTAGATCCTAGTCTGATAACAAGCTGAGCGCCGTTCGTTTATGGCCACATGATGAGTAAATGAACAACAAGCTAACTGCTCGCTTCAGGCATTTATTTCAGTTACGAATAATTTTTACATTTTATACGTATATAGACATGCGAATATAACGCCTCCTTATATTCTATCAAATGATCCACTTGTGACACGTTGGCATTTGTCTTATGACAAACGGCAGCAAAGTCACCACTAGACGGGTGTGTGAACGTAAATGTGCAACACTGTTGCATTCTACCATTTATTCAGATCGATTCTTCAATCGTCTCACACAAGAACAGCTTATCAAATCACTGCACAAGATGTCTTGTGCATGAGAACAATTCCAATGAATCATCAATCAAAAATTTCAACATTGAAGATTCACATAATGAACTGAACTGCATCATAATCAGCCATCGATACAACAAGAACGTGCTCAGTGAACGAATTCAAAAATTCATCGCGCCAATAATACACTAATATCGTCCAATTAATTGAATAACACGAAATTCTACAATTGCAATCGCAATGCAGACTAGCGTTCAACAAGGCAACAAAAAACGCAAACCAACTGCCTCACTGACTGACTGATAAAGGATAGTGCTAAAGTAAAATGATAGCAATACACAAACAAATGATAAAAGATTATATGCTGCACTCAGCTCAATTTTATAAAATGCAATTTGTTTGAGATGAACGACGTATTATGTGATTACAGCACAAAACAAACCGCACTCAAACGTAAATAAAATCAATTTCATCCATAGTGCGCGCTATCACCAAGGAGATAGATAACAGAAGCAAAAAATGAATAAATTAGAAAAATAAACAACACAGATATGGGATAAACATACTGATACACATATTATCATAATAATACATTTCCAATCTACTTATCTTTCGACGACAACAACTAACACAATCAATCGTTGATAATGACTCAACAACAAATCTTCACTTTGCAATACACTCATTGAGCAATTCATATCACAAACTTATTAATAATGATATTGTAACAGAAATAAATAACTCGTAATGCCTTCTTGTTTGATCACAACACTATGGAAAATCTTAGCACAATCAGCTATAAACTAAAAGACTTCACTAAACATGGTTCACCTCATTTGTCATCTCATCAACATCGAGTAATCGACGATAAACAGCTGCTTCTTCAGCCATTTCCGATTGAGGACGCATTTTTCTATCTTCTTCTGGTTTTTTATCGTGCTCAGCTAGCGCCTCATAGAATTTATCTGGATTTTTGCCGAAGTCACCTTTTTTACGAGGTAATATATGCACATGAACTTGCTGAAATTTAAACGATTTCACAGTGAAAAGGGATATGAGTCAAACACGAAAACATAGAACCAGTGAAGAGAGAATGTCAAGATTGAAACACAACCAAACCAACTTACATCAACTGTCTGTCCAGCGTCAGGTCCATCCTGAACGCATACACTCGATGAGCTTGTCTTGTAATGGGACTCGATCATTGCTTGCACTTTCTTCGCAACAATGAACAGATCCGCCGTTTCAGCGTCGAGTAAATCCGTTAATCTGCTCGCTTTCCTGATTGGACTCACCAATACGTCTCAAAACAACGACTAGTTTCACGTTGGTGTATTCGATATAAACTGGCCGGATGCATTCGCATGAGAATGAGGATGTTTTTGAACTAATAAGGAAATAAAACTAACGACCCGGTAGCACCGGACTTCGATTCACGAACGCAAAACTATATTTACTCCTGTAGAACACAACACAAGTTTCAATTAAATGATCGCCAAAACTGAATGGCTCATGACCTGAAATCAAAGGCAATAGGCAGATGATCAGTCAATCATTCGGATCGCTCGTCTTCTCACGTTGAATCAACTTCAAATGTCATCATTTAGAAGACTACTTACTGAGGAATTCGCTTGAAAATACCGACATACAAAACTGAATACCACAAAAATGTAGCTCGATTTGAGAACGAAACAAAAACAATCTGGATCACGCTTAATGAGTGATTACTCTCAATCAATTGCCAACAACTCAGTCAATCAATAACAGCAAAATAATTTATGCTTCAATCATTCACTTCAAGAACAACGACTGATACAGCAATAATGAACGTGCTATCCATTACAAAGCAAACAAATGCAATGCAACTTACCAATCGGTCGGTCTTTACACGCAATCACAGAGTACAGATCGTTTCGACGATGCGCAAACACTGGCTGCATCGTGCGTACTTCATTCAAATATGGCAATGAAATTTCAGCAAAGCACATTCCTAAAAAAACTCGGTACTTAACTGTATGCGCATCTAAAAGAACGAGAAGCGTTAGGGCAAACGACAACACAACGGACTAACCAACATTCTCGGAGCACTGTGCAACGATAGCACCCCATGGATCGATCACCATTGAATGACCATACGATGAGCGTTTATCGCTATGTCTACCGGTTTGCGCAGCCGCAACAACATAGCACTGTGTTTCGATTGCACGAGTGCGTAAAAGCGACTAAAATAGTGAATGAAACTGGATGGATATAAATGAACAGAGATAAATCAACAACACAATATTAGCAAACCTCCCAATGTGCTAGTCCTGTATTGACGGTGAATGCAGACGGATATGTGAGAATTTGAGCACCCTCCAAACGATTCCAAATGGCTAGCTCAGCGAATCGAACATCATAGCAAATTCCCATTGCAACCAAACCAATCGGAGTTTGCACTGGGCTTACCATCTTATGACCAGCTCCGGAAAATTCACTTTCCATGAGACGCACTCTTCCAGGAATGTCCAAATCGAATAAATGTAATTTTTGATATCGACCACATATGTTGCCGTTTTGATCAATTATTAAATGTGTATTATACGGTGGACGAACATTCTCTGGATCCTATAAAATAGCTATAAACTATAAAACAAAATTATGCGATAATAACGAAATTTTCTTCAATATTTTCCGAAGCAATCAAGTATGGTAAGTTTGTCACTAACAGAAGGAGACGATTGTATTGCTCGAAGGTAAAACACTGAAATGTTACAAACGGTAATGAGGATGGATATGATTAGTTAAGGAGTAGGTTTTATTTGCAGTTTAATCCTTTACAACGTACCTTGTTGTGGAAACCTCCGAGTGAGAGCCAAATACGAAGTTTTTTCGCTGTTTCCTTGTATCGACCGATGTATTCATCATCTTCGGACATCGCCAAACTAATGTTCTCCTCACGATTGCGACCAACGAAGTCAAAACATTCCGGAAAGAATACCATCTAAAATTTGAGAGGATTTCCTTTCACGTTAGTCAAACGAAACATATTCGATCTTGTGATGTGACACATTGTACTGTTCCTCATCGGTAACAATATATCTGAACTAGAAACAAGAACTAGAAACTAGAAACAAACAATAAGACGGAACACTCCTCAATGACAGTTCATTTAATTGTTCACCTTTGCATCACGCTCCTTCGCTCGTTCCATCATTGACATTGCTGTCTTGAAGTTCTCTTCTAAGTCATGTGTACACGTCATCTGACATACGGCAATTAATGAGGGTCGTTGACTACATAGCGTCTGTGTCGCCATTCCTCTTATACCGTTGTATAATGACTTGAAAATCATCAACGATCACTTCTGCAAACCATTACGTCATTTAATCTCCACAGCTTGGCTCTAGGATAATTGCATCCCTACCAAGTACTACCGTGCTGTTCAGTCGCCCGAAGTTCGTTTCGACTCAATTTTTGCGCTAGGCGAACGCATGTTCACCAGTGTGTACGCCTATTAAGAGTACTGAATTCATTCTGAGCAGTATGGGTGCTGCAAACAACCACCTGAACTCTGGATGAGCCTCGCCCCGTGGCTTAAGCTTCATTATTGCTAACTGGAGTGGATGCCGGAAACATGAGACTCTGCCGCGTGGTGAACCTCAACAGAATATAGTATATTTATGGTTTCCGTTAATCAAGAGATGTAAGAAAAGTACTTGTACGGTTCTACTTATTTTGGGAACGAAGGAGATATTTTCTCAGCTCTTCATCGTTTGTTTTAATAGATTCAGTCATTTCAATTAAATCGCTTCAATTATTTGTTAATTTCCTTCGATCTGATGGGGACCCCGTAAACGTATATACATCAACATTGTACGCTTGCACAGGATCTGAATTATCGATTTCCATTTCTTTATTCTCAATTTTGTTCCACCTTTTTATTTTCTGCAGCAGATCAGCGTTGAATCTGTTCTCAAGAATTTGTTTCGTTATGAGTTCGCGGTAGGCATTGATGCAAAATATTATCATACCTTGGGTTGTCACTAATACTGTGGTTCATAATGCGATTTACAATTGAGACCTCAGCTGATATTCTGCGGTGTAATTGAAAACATCAACTAGAACGAATTCATTTATTTTTCATTGAATACTAGGCGAAGAACTGATTCGGTTTGTAATGAATTCAGATCAGGACAAACGTTGTTTAAAAATTTACTCTTGAATAAAAACTCTCTACAATAATTACAGAAATGCAAAACAAACAACATTCAATGATTACACTCTGTACAATTATTATTGAAATGCGCATAAGGTTGGAGCGTGTAGCTCATAGAAACACTCTTATTCGTCATCTTTCTTTTCTCGTCTCGAAGGAAGTATATTGATGCGAACTAAGAACAAGAACCTTATGCAACCCAGTCAACACCTTTCATCAGTCTACAAAAACGGTAAACGCCACATTGAAGGGTTTTCAAACGCCGGCATTCCTGCAGTTTCGGTCGGGAAAGGGGTGTGGCCTAACACACATAGAACACGCATTAGCCATCGCATGCATGAAGACATTCTGCCACAGCTCTGTCCGCAAATTTGACAAATGCTTCTTCGAGCGAGTACGGATCTCATCCTTCGTTCTGGATGTTGAAGGGGTTATTGGAGTTGTTCCTATCAACTCTAATCAACTTCGTTTGTTCTGCAGATACCGGTAAAAACTAGTACGATGATCGTTGGTGACGAAATTAAA